ATACAAAAATATAAAATAGGGTGTTCCATTTAAATTTTTTAAGTTACTTAAACAAACACTAAAAACTTGCTACAGCTTTAAATTTTCTACTTCCTTCTTTTCAGAAGTAAGAAAAAATTTGTTCTAGCTGTCTTGTGTATTAAATTACTATTTTTTAAAAAGTGCATGTTTTCGTCAAAAAACCCGTCTTATTTAACTAAGCAAAATCGACTAATAAAAGTTTCGCGTAAAAACATTGTTTTAAAAGGCTACATCCAGAAATGCAAAGAAACATACGGTGTTTCATTTAAAAAAACACAAGTTTGTATCGTAACTTAAGTGTCTAAAATATACATAAAATTCAAAAAGTAAATGTCAAAATGTTAGTCAAAAAAATGATACTTTATTATTTTTTCTAGTATGTTATGGTATTATAATTTTATTTCTAATATTTGGATGAGACTACGAGCCGCCTCTGATTAAATTCATACAAAGCGTCCCCCTCTCAATAAAACGACAACAGATTCAAAAAATTACTACACAAACATTCCAACGCAATTCAATGGTTTGACTGACGTCCTGGCACCTGACACCTGTCATTTCCGAGCTAATCCTAACAAGAAGATCGATCAAATCGCTCATCACTAATATCAGACAGGGTGAATCACATAGACTGACCCCATTTTAAGGCCACTCCATCAATACTACAAACCCTTTAAAGTTTTTCATAAATCTTGATACCACATCAAACCTTTTCACTCTCCAAAAACAAAAGACGGCATCTAGGTAGGGTATGGAATATGTATATTGATGTATCGCTGGAACGGGGAGGGTAGTGTTACCTTATCCTCATTGTTTTGTTTTAAGAGGGCATGTAAAACAATAAGTTGCAGTCTATTGGTTCTCATCGTCACTACGCCATTGTGGTGTCAAATTACAATATTTGGCTTCAGTCAGTTTCCTTTTTTTTTTTTAATTTGTGTCTCAATAAACTTATCGAAAATTTCTTAATCAAAGAGCATTTTAATGATCTTCTCTTACACTTTGGTTTCAACCAAAGCGGTACCTACGTCACCCTCTCATAAGAATCCGGGACTCTCCCGGACTTTGTTTCAACGTGGGCGGTTGTCAATATGGCTGTCAGGATGGCAGGAAGCTCATTGGTTGATGGTAGGGACGCCCTTGTGCGTATTCACGCATCACACGTATTGCGTATGACGTCCTGTTTACCTGTTTTCCTGTTGGAAACCTTCTTTTACGGCTAGTTCCCTAACAAGAAAAACAAGAGAGGCATCGACCACACACAACTTTTCCCAACACGTATTTGGAAATCACTTTTTAATTTCAATAATAATTATGTCGCAATAAAGATTTTTATTAAAAAATATTTCATCGTGTTATTTAGCCGCTCCTTCAACTATTATAGTCTTTTTATTACATGTGCATTAATTCTTAGAATTCGTGTCTTTTCATGCACATTGTGCGAGTAAATATTAAACGCACGACAACAAAATAACAAAATCATTTTTCAAGAAAACTTTTCAGACAAGGTGTTTATGACTTCGCAAATTTAACAAAAATAATAAACACTATCAGTTCACATTATTTTATTTTTTAAAGTACCAAGTGACAATTGCATTTTTAAAATTTTAAACAATGATTTGGTATAAAAAAAAATGAATTAAATAATACTTCTCATTTTTGGACATTTTGTATAATAATTATCTAAGTATAAAGTAAGTGAAATTAATCATTTATTCCGTAATCAAGAAACATGTGTTTTAGTGTCGTAAAATAATGTTTTGTTTTCGAAATGATCGTCACTTATTTCTTATTATTTTACTCTCGTATTTAAACAAAATTTTAATGCAATTATTTAAATGACAATTATCATAGGCGTCGTTACAAATTTTTTTTTAAGAGGGGCAACCTCATCGCAGTTTAAAAATATATATTTTATTACAAACACAAAAACATGTTATACAAAATAGGAACATAAAACCATATTTTTTCTAACGGAAATTATAAATAAAATCAAAAGACAGGTATCTCTAAAACCATAAATTGTAGTATAAAAGTGTAAAAGTTAAAAAAATATAAAAAATAAAAACATAAAAATTATAAATAACACAAATCAGTAAATAACATGAACTAATAAATATTAAGAAGAATGTAACACTTGGAAATCGAAACATAAAATAAAAACTCTTTCAAAATACATTCAAAAACACAATAATCAATAATCAATATGATAAAAAAATTAAAAAATTTTACTTAAAAAAATGTTAGCTATTTATGCAACAAGTTGCAAAATGAGCGTGTTTTTTACTAGACGTATGCAAAAAACAACCATTTTCAATCGCGTTTTATACAAGATTTTTTCCAATTTGGTTGTGAAAAGCAAAGGCATCAAATTCAAATTTAAAATCTGTGATTTCAATAATTTTCCAAAATCATACTATAGGTCGTGGCGTTGCTATGAAAATAGTGTTATTTATTTTTTTTTTAACACTAGTGTTAAAATAATGTCATATTTTATAACTAGTGATAAAATTAAACACATTTGACAACCAAAATGACATATCACAATGGTTGCTTTTCACAACAAAATTGGAAAAAAAACTTGTATAAAGTTAACGGAATAAAACTTATTTCGAAAAAATGGCAAATTCTTTCCACCTTTACTGAATAAATATAAAAAAACATAAATAAGCGTTTTCTATTTTGAAAGTTTAATTTCGTTGCGGTAGGGAGTAGTGTGCCGGCCACGCTCTTTGTTGGTCAAGTTTGAAAGTCATCACCCTCGGTTTGAAGAGTCTAATAAGAACAGGAAAAGATAGACCAATATGCATATGAAAGAGAGTTAATAAATAAGTCTTTCGCGTAATTAAAATTGTTAATCAATATTTTGAAAACCGCATAATGAAAGGTAGTTGAAATGTAGAGAAAAAGTCTTGGGTTGTGATTTGAAGTAATTTTTGTTCTCATGGTAACGTCGGAAGGGTTGGAAGAACATATTGAAGTTTGCAGTAATTACGAGTGCGTATACAACCTCGTTAAATAGATTCGTTTTTCTGCACTTTGTAGCGGTGGTGTTTTTTGCGTGTAATTTTCCGCATCCACGTACGCAACCTTTGCATTGCAGAATCTGGATCGATCGTAGTGTTAATGAAAAGGCAGGAACGGCCCACTTTCAATTGTGGAGACTTAGAAGGGGACATCAAGGACTGAGAGCACGGAAAACCGCAAAGTGAAAAGGAATATTTTCTTCATTACTATATTTATAATCGGATTATTTAACTGTGGGAATTAATCAGGAATTACATGAAATACCTGAGAGAAATCGGTGAAATTAGTTCGGAAAATGGCGTTTCTATAGGTACGATGACCTTCGATGATATATTGACAATAATCTCTAATAGAATTCGGGTTATATTGGGGGTCTCTCAATGGCTTGCTTTGACAAAAGTTGAGTTGAAACGGGACGAGAACATTTCTTAAAGTGGGAATCTCGTCGGTATTAAAAACCTCGAAATGACCGAAGACTTGATGGAACAGTGACAAATGTTCCAAAAAAAAAGGGCTTTCGTTAAGAGCATCGAAGCTTTTTTCAGATCTTAGAAGCACCGTTCAATAGACACTCAATTAGGAGAAGAGTGCATTCTGGCGTTGCTTTATTTAGTGCATTTAGCTGCATCGATCTGACAATGAAACCTCAACAAGCACGTAAAGAATATTGCCGCCAAATAACTCGACTAATTAATAGCTATTCACACCTTTATCGCCCTTCACATCTATCTCACGCGCACATTGATATTGCTCGACGTTTGAGTGGCCTTGGAAGAATTAAATAGCCAAGCAACTCTCATTAAGAAACACAATACTAAGGTCCCAAAGTTAAAAGCCTGGATATGTCACAAACTCGATCATTTCACCACAAGGGCGAGGGTGGGAACAGCTAGATGTAGGTACAATTCGCCCGTTTTGGATGTGGATGTAAGAGCCACTCTGCATAAATGCTTGTTATTGGTAATTGACAATGATAGATAGACCAGTTACTGCATTATGTACTACAAACTGCTAAGTTCTTATTGACGGAGACCGATCGTCATCGATCGGCGATCGTTAAAGAGGCCATTATCTAGTAGCAGATCAATAGTCAACTCGCCTGGTATAAAAACGAAACGCTTTTCGCGAAAACAAAAAAAAAACAATTAACTTTTCAATAAGCATCGTTAGAACTTATTCCGAAGCCTCATCACCTAATTTTTATTAAAATTAAAAATATGTATTGACACATGCCTGTCAACTGATTCTCATGTTATTGTTGTGACGGCAAGCTGCATTGGAAATAGTTGCATATCAAATTAGAGGTCAAACTTGTGGCTTCAATCTATGAATTTCCTATAATTAATGACTTTCACAATTAACCATTCCGCGATGAATGTCTGGCATACGAGTGAAGAATACCTAAAAAGGTCATTGTTGATGGTCAAATTTGATACTATAGACAGGAAGTGTCTAATCGCCGAGAGGATAAAAATGTTTATTATTACATATTAGACCATCAATTTCTTTTAATTATAGAGCTTGAAGTCGAAAACTTATCACCGATGCGAACTAGGTAGCTACAGTAGCTGCACTTCGTATAAGTTATTTTTTTTTCAAAATGTATGACATCATACATAAATTGAAACCTATAATACCTGTCCTACTTGTTGCAAAAAAACAACCGTCGACTATTATTACAAAAGATCTAAAAATAATGAGTACATCAAACATTGGGGTGGTCTACAAAAAGAACAACACGGTAATGGACATAAGCGGATGTCTCCTTTTCATACTACCCGGATTAAGGTTGCATTTCGCGTTTGTGATTTGAAATGGCTAACGATGTTACTAAATATTCACATATTGTAAAAAATGGTAGATTTTCATGTTACACTTACCTTATTAGCGGACCATTTATTCCTTTTTTACAAGAGGTATGGTATTATAATTAAAAAGAAAAAAACAAAGTGTATATTGTGTACCTGTTTATTCTCAGTGCCTCTACAGTCCTACTTCTAGTCCATATATTTTCACCGATAACTTAAAAACACCGAATTGTTTCATTGGACGAAAAATGTACGTGGCAAGTTGTTAATTAACAGAATATCTCAGAAACGTTTTCAGTTTATCGGTGACGTAAATACAACAAGGCATCATGAAGAGATATTTTATACTGAATGAATCATTTTCCAATTTAGTCGGTAAGTTTTATCGATATACATTAATATTTTTGTAAGCACCGGATTATAAGGAGTTGAGGTGCTACATAACATGACATCTGGTTAAATGTGTATATAAAAATTGCACGCCAAATGATCAATTATTTTAAATAAAGAAAGATAATAAAAGAAATTTTGATAGATGTATGTTATAAGCAAAATAAATACTGATATAATAATGATGATGAAGTGCATTCGTATTAATGTGAGCTAAAATTAGACACCAAGGAAGATAAAAACACAAACTTATAAGCACATGAAATATAATACTGTGAAGAAACTATTATAAAATAATAAAATTACGCAAATTAAGTACGTAAAATACGCACTTGATTTGGTAATTTTTGGTTGGCCCCAACAATTGAGATGGCGTCATTGACATCCCACACTGGTGTATCATCATATGAACTACTGTAGAGCTCTGACAAGAATGATCAGACAACTATTTACTTTTACACTGCATTGTTTACACAATCTTTTAAGAGAAGTACAAAATATTTCATCCATTAAATGAACATAGAATTATATACTTAGCACGTACGCTCTACACTTTATACAAGTCTTTGCTAAACAACACACACTAATATTTCATAGTATAATAAAATACATTTTAAAACATGCACACCCAAAAGCTCGGATAAAACAAATTTAGACCTGAAACTATGTAAGTTGCGTAATTAGTGGGAATGTAAGTAGTTAAGTACTCGAAGAGTAAAAGAATTAAATAATAGCTTCCTTAAATCGGTAAATTTCAGCTAAAGAGTGTCGGTCGTATTTGCAATTCCCAAACTTTTACGTGTTTCAGTCGACATTTTTGGGAATTAAGGACTACAAGAAGCGTTTCAATGACAATAATATCACTTTTATTTACACATATTTATGAAATAATCTAATTACTCCTCGCGGTAGCCAAGGAAGTTTCCTTGGCTAGTTAGATCTAGTTAGATAAGTTTTTCGATAAAAATTGCACAGTATTTTACGTAAGTAATTGCGAGAAGTAATTAGATAAGAAGTCTCTTTGAGTCTTTTAATACTTTTATCACACCAGCTTTGCGCTGAAAAAAATTCGTACCATTACTTAAATTAACGCACTATTTTTATCTACAAAAATTGGCTTTTTACGCAAGGTTCTTATAAACAAAACTATTTAGAGTGTCGCCGTTATTCACGCACTCGCGGACACGTCATCTAATAATTTACAGTATTTTACAGATAAGTGTCAACATGTGTGAACGTAGAGCTGGAGACAAGTCCCCGCTCCCGTTCCTGTCTTTTAGCTCACCGCCATCGAATGACTGCTATACAGGCAATGACAACTAGAAAACTTGGAGGTCCCGCCGATAACCAAACTCCTTTGCTATACGTCAACTCTTCATTTTTCATTACTTCATTCGGATGCTTTTCGTACTCGTCTATACATCAAATAAAAAATCAAAATAAGCAACCATCTATTGATAAAAACCACCCAAGAAACTTACTCATTTTCTTTGTGGGTTTCCTCGTCGACGGTGTATCCGTTCGAGAGACCCATTGTGTGGTCGATGATGATGTTACTTCGACCATCGGTCGTCGAATATCCGGCCAACCCAGCGTCGTCGTCGAAGTCGACGTTAATTTTGTTGTAAAATTATTTTGGTTCTGATCAGGGGCGCAGCACACTTTGAAAACAATTTTCATGTTATTGGTAGAGCACCGGCCCCCGATCCTTCGATGTAGATCGTCCTTTGATGACGTCGCTAAAATTGCGATATTACCACCATAAATCCGAAGCTAATTCGATTTTACTTACATATAAAATAGTAATCTTTGCCGGGGAGGAATTCCAAGCCGCCGGGCTGAGGTGTAAAAGGTCGAAATGTAATTGTAAAATACATTAGTTTGTATGGTTTATCGCATATGGCTATTATACGGGGATTGGGGTTTGTTATTCTGCAGGTTTCGTATTCTTCCTTTGATACGTTGTAAATAATATATTTTTCTAAGTCATCTCCGTATGTTCCTGGCGTGTAAACCGGACAGATGATATTGACTTGATCGTATTCAAATTGGGCGTTACCCTTATTTACGTCGATGATGTGGTCAGTGTTGTCGATGCGAAATCTGAAACAACAAAATGCAATGTCAGAATACAAACAAACTGCACGAATTGTGACAATAATTAAAAGATACCAAAGAGCAAAAAGCAAGTCATAAGTGATGAATACAATAATAAGAATAACAAAACAAAAAAACGAGCAAAAGACACAATAGAAATTTTTTCTAAATAATTTGAATGAAATAAATATGTAGTCGTATTTTTGTCCCTATATAAAAAAACAATGATTTGCAAAAAATACATAAAGTGGTCGTATAAAGAAACCCAAGTGTTATAATAATTAAACTACTTTTAAGAGGTATGAAAAAATACACCTGTAGTGTCGGCTTTCACATCATAAGATCACAACGGTTCAACGGTAGGTTTGTAGGTGTCGACTGATGGGGGAGAAGCCGTAATAGGAGTTTCTGCCGAAGGGGGTCTAATAACTACTCCGTCCCGTGGTGAGATATATTGGTAGCCGCCCTTTACTCTAGCCGCTCTAAATTAATATTTCCAAACAATTAATTGTCCTCCATATTCAAAAATAACAATTTTATCTCAATTTTACTCAAACTTTGGATGCTGTTTGTCTAACTCGAATCAAAGTGGCGGTTTCCCATGTGTGTTTAGGGAAACCACAATTGATGGTGTCTTTGTACTTATTAGAGATAAATTCTCCTATACTCTATGGTAGCACTTCCTTTAATTCATTATTAATTATGAGGAAGCTCAAGCAAATTCCGGAATTCGAAATTGTGTACTTTTGTTTATGTTGTTAAATAGATCGTAATCTCTAACTAATGGTAATTGTCAAAGTGCTGTGTGTGAGAGCAATTTTTTGCTAATTTCATTCGGTGGCTTAACAAACTTGTGCTTGAGTCGTAAATTATCCACGTATTGATGGGATCGGCCAATGGCAGCGATATTAAAACTAATCTAGAGTTGATTGATGTGGATTACATATTATTTAGCACAGCGGGTGTATGGCTGCGAGCTTCAGACTACAAAGCCAGGGCCAGGCGGCCGACTGAATCGACAAACCTCCGACTGTTCGCCACAATCAACGTCACACCCGATCTAGGACCAGCTTCTTGGGACTGGGCCCTCACATCCCCCGTATTAAATAAAAACCCAAGACTATAAATACTCTGCGCTTTTGCACTTGTAATTAAATCATCCCACTTCGAGTTGGTTCAATTACCAAAACACAATTTGCCGCAACACTCTCAAACACTCCCCATACGTTAATTACATTTTCTAAAGCTGGATATAAAACGAGCGAAATTTTTCTTCATTTCCAATAACGACAACTCTTGATATTGATACAAAGATTCAATAGGTGTTCATAAACAATAAAAGAATTTTTAATAAAAATTGTTTTTTTTTTCAAATTTTCCAGACAGGAATGTGGCTTATGAAGAGAAACAAAAGAATCATTTTTTTACAGATATCTATTATGATTATGTCAAGTCAATTTATTTATTACACACATAAACGAGAAAGTGAGATATAAAAAAATAGGAACCTTTCAAGAACATCATACATTCATAAAATGTTAGATGTAGAAAGAAATAAGTACCTACATGGATAAATGTTTAATTATTTTTTGTATTGTGTAATAGTTTGTTCGCGTTAGCAAAAATTTGTTTTAATTAAGTGGTGGGCAAAAAACGGCGAAGCGAGGGCGATTAAGAGGAAGAAAATTAGATTGAAGATATTTTTTCGTTTGAGTATTTTTAGCCAATGTGCTAGCGGCTCAAAGTTACCGCCAAGATTTAATACCAAAGATGTATGACTATAAATCGGTTCACTAGTTTTTGAATTAGAAATCTTGGGAAATCCGTAACGTATTAAGAGTCTCTTATTCAGCGTATCAGGGGGGTTGCTTGGCAACGCTATGTCGAAACGAGCCTAGTGAGCAACCAAGCATCCAGTTAAAACATGAGATTTGTCAATAATTCTACTTTGATTGAGTCGACATCATCAATGAGTGTTAGGTTGGTAGCCAGTGTCTTTCCTATCAAAAAATTCCACCAAATCCACTCGGAATATTAACTTTAAGCAAGCACTTCATGATGTTATAACTCAGTTCTTGGCTCCGCTCCTGCGATGTCCTCAGCTAGGCTATCATGTAATCCGAACCGATTACTGAAATTAATGGAGATGTAGAAACGCCCCAAACCTGTACAAATTCTCCAAGGGCTTTCAATTCAACAATTAGGAGCATCCTTAAATTTGCTTAAAATCAATCAAATGTAACACAATTTGAAAATTAAAAAAAAACAAGTTTCGGTGTTGAGGAACCACCTAACGAAAATAAATTCCCTATCAATCTCTTTTTGTTAGTAAATGAGTAAATGTGTGGCATAAGCCATTTATCTTGTTAAGCAATAAAGGAGAGTGCTTTAATAATAGTGGCCAGCTATGCGTACAAAAACGCTAAAGAAGATACCGTTGCGTTCCTGTTAGTTGGATCTAATAATATTGCAAATACCGCATATCACGACAATGCAAATTGCGTCGGAGTGAAATGCATATTCATGAATAGTATTGGAACATTTCTGACCAATAAAATCATTTCCCGGACCTGATAAAACCATATTAAACTTCTTGTAACGTCCGTAAACTCGAATTATGTTTTTTTTTATGAAATTGATGTAGGTCAATTGGTATTTGACAGGGATTGTAGATGGTTTAATTGATTTATGTACCGATGACAATTAAAGGTTGTTCGTTCATTTGCTGTGTTGTATTATAAGTGTGACTTAATCAGAAAGGGGTGATGAATTCTGAAGTTTTAATTAGTACATGCAGCAACCTGCGAGTTTCATTTCATTGATGGCTGAGGTTTGGATTTGACATATATCAGATTGTTTCACATCAGTGTGACTAGTGGTATGTATTATTGCTTCAGATCTAAACCAGATTAATCACATTTGTAAAAACATAGCGGAATCATCAATATTTATTTAATCGTGATGGCAGCACAGTGATACCTACTTCAATTCAGAATGGCAATAATTATTAGGCCACGGCCTCGATGTCGTTCATTGTTTTCCTGATGTGTTTCAATTAATGGGTTATCGGTAGAGAGAGAAAGAGAGGTGCTATAGTTCTCAATCGCCGTCACTTGAATAGACCGACCGGTCAGGATTCAACAAGGATGACAACGAAGCGGAAGCATCAAGATCTTTTGTCGGAAGTTTGAGTGAATCACACTACGAGTATGATGGGTTACTGCGGTCATCGGTGTCCGTGCGAACAACACTTCACCCGAACGAGAAGTAACTCAAAGAGGTGGCGGGTACCGAGCTAGAATCCTTGACCTCACCGCGGAGGAGGGACTGGCACTAGCACCGGCCGTCGCCCCCGCGAGTCTTCGCCCCGACAACACGAAACATGTGCTTACTGCTAGGGTGCCTCGGCGCTTTGATCGCCGGCTCGATGTCATTCAAAAGTGATCGTTAATTACCGGTAACAGGGCCCAAGTCCCGTTCTTCATTAACACAACAATTAACAACGCGTTTGTTAGACCATAATTGATGGACTGGCCCCTATATGCCGCCGCCGTTTCCATCATGCTTTCGCAATCTCAAAACGAACTATTCTCTCCTTTCTAATATATTTTCTAAACTGAGATTTTACTTTTTTGACATTGTGCTGAAAAACTTTAACTATGCTAAAAAATTTAAATTGCAGTAATTTGGTTGGGTCTGAATATTTCTACGCGGATAATGTTCTGAGAGAATTTTGACACTTTTTTATTGTAAAAGTTTTAAAATACGAAAAACTGTCTCATGAAAAATTCCATGAATGATGTTACCAACACATTCCACAACTACGCGTTAAGATGTGTGCAATTATTCTAAATATTTTTGTTATAATTTTTGAAGGCGCCGAAACACAGTTATTTTACTGTGTACACCCGAGGAAAAAACTATTCACCAGTCTAATTTTGTACTCGGGCTACGCTTTGTCGCAATAGCGTTTCCGACTAACTAGTTGAGAGCAGGTAATATGTCGAAAAACCCTTATTTAGGAAGTTGGTCCGGACCCGAAAAATGTCTTTTTGTGAAAATTACTTCAATGAGCATACATTATAACGTATACATTAAATTGTGATTATAATAAACAAGCTTGATCAAATTATCAAATTACAAATACATAAATTTATTTAAGAAATGTATTTTACAAGTATACATTCTGTTCCCGGATTAAGTTTACAAGAGGAAAAAAAATTTTACCTTTGATTTTACGCCAAAACTGCAAAGGAAAAACATTTTTAGCTTGACTTGACTTTTAAGTTTCTTTATCTACAGCTTTCAAAAATCAAGATTGTAGGACTAGTTTTAAATGCCAGAATTTTTTAATAAACTGTGAATTTTGCCAATTTCTATGAAGTTAATTCTTTATAATTAAAATTCTGAACTTAATAATACATTTTATAGTAGCCAGTCACAAGGAAACAAATTTTTACCTTTGATTTTACGCCAAAAAAGCAAAGAAAATATTTTTTTTGCTATAGCAGGTGTTAAACTATTTCTTTAAAAACTCTTTTGAGTAGATGAAGTAACACTTTAACAGCAAGGGTTGTTTTTGCTTTATCTGAAACGAGCAAATCTGTAATTAAAATTTAATTATTCTGACTCAGTGGAAAGAAAAGTTAATTTTTTTCTTACTTTTGGATTTGTAATAATAATCTTTCTTTGCTTTTCAAGTCCCATATTGGCGATTTTATTTTTTTGACAACGATGTCACTTTGACAATTAATTAATTAATTGAATAATAATGATTGTTTTTGTTTTTTGTTTTTTAGAAGCTGTTTTTTTGACTTGCCATTTATTAAAATTATGTTTTTTACAAACATTTTTGTTATTTAACTTGCGTTAACTCATCTGTCAAAACGACATCGTTATCAAAAAAATAAAACACCAATGTGATGGGATTAAAACGCAGAGAAAAAATTACACTAGTTTACACGATTTTTATACCTTAGCTGAAAGTTAATTTCTTATAGATTTTA